TTAAAAAAATTAAATTTTAAAAAATAATGTTACAATGTAACAATTGCTGCTTCTAAATTAGAGATGCAACGTACAAATATTTGGTATTTAGCCTATACTGTTGAACGCAGAATATTAATTTCGGACGAATAATGGAAGAATCGTCTGCCGAAGACAAAACTTAATTCGTTTACATCCATCTTTCTTGTTTTCTGCCCTGGAAAGGGTTTATTCGATTAACAAAATAATAATGAAGATAAACAAATTTGTGAAGGGTCCGATTAAAAGAAAAATCATTTTGTGAAGGGTCCGTTTTTAAGTTAAAATATTTTGTGAAGGGTCCGTTTTTATGAAAAGATATTTTGTGAAGGGTCCGTTTTTATGAAAAAATATTTTGTGAAGGGTCCGTTAACGGACCCAAATTTCTTCTTAACAGACCCCTGGCTACGCTGATTGTTTTTGACGCAGTATGGTCGATTCCTGTTCTTGTTCCTTTAAACTTTGTATTCAATCTAATTCTGAGACAATTACCACTAATTTGAATTTTTTTAAATAATTATGGTAGAGGCATGGTGGCTCAGGGTATAAAGCGTTCGGCTTCTAATGAGGTTACCATGTTCGAATCCTGTGGCTGCTTGATACGAATTCTGCTCTCGGCTCGTACCGACCACAGTGCTAACATAAAATATCCTCCTCCTTTTCTGGTTTTCATCTCCATAAAACGCAAATGCAGGTTAGTTCCATCAAAATATCCTCCACAAAGGCAAATTTCTTCCAACACTTGATCCAGGAGTTTCCTTGTCTTCTGAATTGGGTTCAAAATTGCAAGGCTACGGAGTTAACATTGGTAGTCGTAAACTTAAAATTGTCTCAACTGTTCACCTACGGTTTTAAAATAAAAATAAAAAAACATTTGTGGTAGAAAATAAGATGGAATATAATCGTTTGGCGAAACGTAGTTTTGCAGACGATAACCAATTTTATACTTCATTTAAGAATTATTTATCCACAATTATAATTATGACTGTTTAATGTCCTTTTATCGTATGGTGAATTTAAATAAGAAGGTGTGTGATTTCTCTGAACCAGTTTCCTTTAGTTCTTTTATAAATATTTTTTTTAATAAAGTGTAATTAAGACATGTTTACTCTAATGATGGTGTAAAACGATACACGCCCATGCCTCTCATTTTTCCAACACCTGCATGCCATTGCGCAGTGTCCATATTTATTCAGCTTATTAATAAACTTATAATACTCTTATTTCAACCTTGAAAAATTGCCCAAAAATATTTTTAATATAACCTTTACTCAAGGTAGTAATTCGTAGCACTTATTACCACACAGATATTACCATCCGGAAATTTTTCTTTTAGTTCGAATGGCTTTTTTTTTTCCTTCAATTTTTTTTTATTGTTCTATATCCAGTTTTTGAAATTTCCTGTAAATTCGGATGCCTGTTCGCGTCACTTGTTACAATATGAAATTATTTTATAACGGTTGTGGAACAGTCGACCCATTTTTGGATTTATGAGTATCAATATTCAACTCCTTGACCTTGTAATTCTGAACTCAACCTAAAAGACGAGAATTTCTGTATTAAGCATTGGGACGAGCTAGCTTTCGCAACGAACTTTTTGATGGAACTAATTCGCATTTGCGTTACATGAAGAAGAAAACCTTCCACGGTAGTGCTGGGGCGGTAAATGGACTATTATCCATGATCACTTTACGTACTTTACGTCATCATTGACGTAGCTGCGATCTGGAAGGCGATTTTCCAACCCAGCGTCCTTTTACGACCAACTCTCCAGTTTGGGGGTTTCTTGAATAAAAAGAAAACTTTTGATTTTTAACTTTTTTTATTTGTTTGTTTCGATAACTAATTTGAAAAGAAATAAAAGTTTGTTGCTATATTGCCAGGAAGAAAATCTGCAAAAAAGAGAGCGAGTCGTTAAAGCAAAGAATATAGAGGGACCTCTATATTCTTTGGTTAAAGACCGCTAATTGCAGCCGTTTGCAGATTATTAATTTCGTATTAATATTTATTTTTTCTTTGTTGGTTTTTTGATGTTTTAATCAGTATATTTTACAGCTGATTTTATTTAAGATAGTTCAAATATTAATTTGTGCCGTAATGTTTTGTTAAAAACCTACCAAAGAACAAAAAAGTTTTTAAGTTTCTGTAGAAAAGTGTGATTTTCACGGTAAAAAAAAATTAAAAATTCTGGAGCGCTTAGTTTGAATGCGACGAGTTTCAATACGCAAAAAACCACCAAAATCGACTTCGACATTTTATGATTAAAAAACTGTTGACGATCTATAAATAATATATTCGAAATGATAATATTCTAAATTTGATAATATAGAGAATTTATTTCTTATCTGCATAATAAAATTTTGTGTTCTTCAAAACATTCTGGATACGGTAAGCCACAACATTTTGTATTAAGTATAGATTTAACTATCAGTATAGATTTAATAAGTTTAATTTATTCTATTTTTTCCCCTATCATTTCTTTTAAGTATTCCACTGATACGTGGAGATGAATACAGAAAAAAACCCCAGCAATTTTTAAGAATGGGCCGTTTTTTATGTTTAATGTCTGGGGTGCTGCGCGTCATGGAATTATAAAAATATTTTTAAAAATAATTTATCTTTTAAATGCATTGATTGTATGATATATTGTTTATCAATTTCTTTAACAACGTATCTCGGATAAAAATTTAATTAGAATTATATTAAACTTCCAGAACTTAACAAAAAATGTCCGGACTGTTTTCACGAAAGAATGAAGTCAAAGGATTAAAATTTAATTTTACCCCGCAGTTAGGTTTTAATCGTTTTTCTCATACCTCCTGCCCCAAAGACCTTATTTAACACTAATTCCTTAAACCAAGCATTTTTCTCATCCGCAAAGAAAAAAATCAGAGAAAATGTTCTTAAAAACGAATCCTTTTAGATGTTCTTTTTTGCCATAATTCTTTTCGCTTCGTTGACAGAGAATGTAGATTTCACGCTTGCTCCTGAGTTAGAAAAAATAAATAAATGATAAATAAATAAAATGAAAAGAATGAAACTTCCCTTCGACCATCTGGTTGGTGAAAGTTGAAGTTATTGTTTTAAGAGATGGCGTTACAAACGATCAACTATGGCCCAACATTTGGCGGCATCGTAATAATTACGATTGAATTTTTTTTCTTTCTTTAACTTTCACGAAGTGGTGAAGAGGTCAAGGACTTACTTTTTTTCTTATTGTTATCGAATTGTGCCATTTCTTTTTATTTTATCGCCGTCTTTAAGAAGATTTCAATGGCGCAAGTTATATTGTTTTGATAATGATTTTCGGTTGCAAACTATAAATTATAGTGATTTTTAAATTGTAACTTTTTTATCGTGAAGTACATAAATGGATATCTTACTTTTTTTTACCCATTTTCTTATGTATATTTTTATTTATTTAATTTTTTGATTAAGGTATAAAATGTACGTTTCATTTACATTACCTAAACTAAAATTTTAATGAAATTGATCGAATAATTCACTAAAAATAATTTAAAAAAGTACATTGATTCATTTGTTATGAAGATGAGTTTTTAAATAATTTTACTGAGAATTATTTACCTCGTTTCTTTCAAGTTAGAGATTTAACCACAATAAAAAACACAAACTTAAAAATAAAGCATTCCCGCAACAGCCCGTTGTAGGACAGAGGGATCATGGATGTTCAGGCTCTATACAATTTCGTGACTAACGACATGATGAGGGAAATATTGTCACCATTGCTCACAGGTCGCCCTTACTTTCCATACCAGCTGGTACCCATGGATATGAAGCTGGGTGAGCTTCAAATAAGTCATTTTTATCTCAATAAATGCTCAATTATTATTTTTAATGTGTTCAGTAAGCAAAAAAAAAAAAAAGGTATGAAGTTTTCGCAACTTATAATTGAATTGATTATTTTCAGTAGATTGTACTTTAATTTTAAAATATGTATAGTGAGCCGTAAAAAGGCATCCCCCAAAATAACTTTCATTCTAATCACCGTGTTTTCACGATCAAGTGCCGATCTTAATAATTCAAAGGAGTTGACCTACGCTTAGTGTTAACTATTAAATAAAATACGGAATCTGGCACAGAAACGTATTTTCTCTGTTCTGAATAAACCATTTTCCCACTGGGGCCCCCTTCCTATTTATGACACTTGCGTATTCCTAAAGTATTTGAGCGAATCGAAAATTTTTGCACACAAGTACGAAATCCGTTTGTCCACGTAAAAAATAATTTTGATTACGTAATTATCTTCATTTTATTTAATAAAAGTCTTAAAAAGTGTTGTGTAATTCCTACAACTTTTTATATTATTTTAAATTGTATAAGTTGAAATGACGAAATACAAAAGCTGTTGTCGTAGGCCAATTAAGTAAGGGGTGAGATAGTTCCTGTTTTCCCGTGGCGCCATCTATGGCTAAGAATTCGACTTCTGCCGCACCCATACGTCATACCCGTTTATAGGACGAACCATTCCTTCATCCACAGATCGTAATTTTGGTCTGAACTAGAGAACGATCAATCTCCAATTCAGTATCCCCAGAGGTATAATTTGTTATGGGATCATGGAGAACTTTGTGACCCGAAATATTTCACGTGCACCAGTCATCATTTCCTACACTACTACACCGGGTGTCTTCGATCGACAGGATCGAACTACCGTTCCCCCGAACGTGAGTCCAGCGCCCTGACAACCAGGCTATCCCGGCTCAATAAAAAAGTTGAAACTGTCGAATAACTTTATTGCAAAGTAAAAATTTCAAAATGTAAGTTTTTTTTTAAGTTTAGTAAATTTGAAACAATTCGATCGATTCCGTCAATGATTTTAATGTAAAATTTAAATGTTTTTTCTAGTGGAATAGGTACATTTAATATGTCCTGTCTGTATTCAAGTAATTGAAATTATTGATATTTTCTTTATTATAACTAAATGTAATACTTACGGTGATTTTCTTCTTTTGTAAATGCAGGCAATTGAAAAGAAACCAACCCGAAATAGTGTTCGGAAAATGCTGCTACGACCTGCCCATGAAGAAAGTTGCCAAGCTCTCCAAAGTGGTTCTTGCTGCACACACTGGGCCTGCTGGCGGGTTGACACAAGTTAATCGAAAACACAAACCTTTCGAATACCTCGATCTGGATGTGGATTTCATCGATGAGGATTATGAAGAAGATTCTGAAAATCATGATAAGTTAAATATTCCAGAACCTGTTGTCGATAACAATGAAAATACCACAGAAAAAATCGAAGAAAAGAAACTTACTATTAGTGAAGGTAACCAATTTCTTAAAAATATTTCTTTCGTTTCTTTGACAATGTTTTTAAAAAGTGCTTAAAGGTGCTCATTTCCGATTTTCGTTTTTTAAAAGCCCTTAAAGGTGCTTTTTTCATTGGGTGTTTTTAAAAAGTGCTCAATTTTTCCCTTTCGAAAATTGGATTTTTTTCTTTACCATTTCGATTTTCGCCACGTATTATGCAAAAGCGTGCTTTTCCCCATTGCTTTATTCAACATTTTCACAATTCATTCAACCACAATTTATTATGGTGTATCGTTGGTCCATAGCGTATGAAAGCTCCTATCATGTTACATGCTTGATGAAATACTTGCGATTCCGCATGAGAGTTAGGTTCGGAGGGATTATTGCAATCTCATCAATGGGCAACTCCGATGCATTTTTCAAGATATCTCAATTTCAGGCCTCATTTCCCCCCTCTAATATCGAACCGAAAAATCTATCGATCTTTTTATGGTGGCTAATATAATCAAGAAAGGAGTTCTTTGTCAGAAACTAGTTATTTTATCAGGTCATGTAGTCTTTCAAAATTATTTTGCATTTTGTTAAAGTATGTAGTGCTTAAAAATATTTTTTGAGTGCTCAAAAAGTACTTAAAAGGTGCTTATTTTTTGTTGAAAGATTTGGCCACGCACCTTGATTGATTTTGCAAGAGAAAAGTTACCATTTTTTAAAAAAAAAATATTTCTTCCATTTTATTAGTACTGCAAAGGGGAAGGTAACCAATTTTTAAAAATGGTTCTTCCATTTTATTAATGCTACTTTTTAATAGTTTTAAATCGGATCCGTTTAACACAGTCAGTGGGTATTTGGATGCCCAGTAAAAACTTAAGAATTAAATGCTTGTGAAAACTAAAGCCGAAATTGAAAGAAATTAACAATTTTCCAGCAGCAAATTTTTTTTATCCTTTGTCTGCGAAAAAGGGCTCCTTTTGAAATTTTCTATGTGTGATGTAGTGCAGGAAAATGTTAATTAAAGTATTTAAGAAATCGTGTATAATATTTTTCTCTGTAAAATAATTTTACGTGTGGGTGTCAGAAATTTTCGCAAACCAATTTAATAATTTAACTAAACCAACAAATTTTGACAAAAAACAAAAAAAAAACAATATTCTATTTAAATATATGTAATATATTAGATTAGTTAATTAGAACTCAATATGACATACAACAAGCATTGTTTATAATTATTTAAAATAATTGTAATTAATTACAATTACAGTAACCATAATTTTTTTTACATTCAGGGTAGCAACAATCACTGAAAAAAATATTTTTGCTTTCACTCGAATAAATAAAAAAAAGTGAAAAAATACTTAACACACTTTAATTCTAACTGTGTTAGTTCTAAGTATAACTATATCGTTTTTATTTTGAATTAAGTTGTGGAGAATTAGATAAATTAATCTTTTATTCTATTCTGGCGACAAATAAATTGCTAAAAAAATTGTTTGGCTATCTGTTTTAATTTGGTTACTATATGCTATTTATACAAAAATTAATTAAGTAAAAGATATTTCAATTGTCTAATTTTTGGAAACAAAATTTAGTCCAAGATAAAAAATGTATAAGTATAGTACTTAGATAAGTATGCATGACAAATTTATTTGAAAAACACCATTTATCCCTGGGTAGAACTAGTTTTTTTATGGATAAACCCATGTGAGTTGGGTTTTTTTTTAAAAAAAAAAAAAAAAAAAAAAAGAGTTTTTCCAAACTTTGAGTACAAATATACCTTCTAGAACCCCTTTTAAAATACCTATATCTGCAAATAGATATATTTTCTTTCTAAATGTGTGCCTGCATATTTTTGGAGAAAGATTTTTTAAAAAATATATATATTTTAGATTTATATCCTTTTTTGGAAAAATTTATTTTAGTTCAAAGAAATTAAATTGGAAAAGAACAAAACTTATTGTGCTGAGTTTTAAATTTTTTTAAATTCAATATTTTTCAATAATTTATTTGACGTGTTCTTACTCAGGTTTAGATACACCAGAAGCAGTTGCTGGTATCAAGAATTGGACCCAGTCTGATGATCGAGCATTTGGACTAGCCACAACTTTGTATGAAAAACATCCTTTAACCAATGAAAATGCTGGTTTGTATATTTCCTACCTAAATATTCTTTTCCCCCCACCCTTATTCTTCTATTCCTTTGAGAAGTAAACCAATTCAAAAATTAAAATGTTGAATGCTTCTAAAATATAAAGTTATAATGTGGCGTAACTACCACTATAAATATTAAATACCAATTCACTAGTATATAAGACATGTTAACTTGATTCAATCCTAAAGTACCTTGTAATATTTATTTTATCAAGCCTTTAGGTTGCGCCATTCAATCGTGATAGCATGTCCGTATTTCCGTAATAATTTTCCAAATTTTCCTTTTTTGGTCTATTTATTAAACATAACAATAGGAACACTAAACATAAACACAAATAAACATAAAATTTTCCTGATTATGCATTATATATTCAAATCGGATTTTCCGATTCCACGAGATGTTTATCTCGCCAGTTCAAGTTTCATTCTGATTGAATTCTCCCTCGGTTAGGGAAGACGCCTAGTAGAAATCCCTTTTGTGGGGATTTAACCTTATTCGTGGCTTGAGTTGCCACATCCTCCCGCCCCGAAAGAGAGTTCAAAAACAATTTACAAATAGAATTTAAAATTATACTAATACTAATTCTACATTAAACTACCAAATTAACAATTCACGACATAAATAATGAATCATACAAAAATTTATGAAAACAATATCAGCAAAAAAAAACATAAATTCGAATTAGAATAAAAACAGTCACTTATTCATAATCAACTTGTAATTTGTTACTCACTCATTTGATGCAATTTCTAAATTATACAATAACTGTACTGGGCGTCTTATNAGATCGTGCCACTGCACTCCAGCCTGGGCAACAGAGCGAGACTCCGTCTCAAAAAAAAAAAAAAAAAAAAGAATATTTCTTCCATTTTATTAGTACTGCAAAAGGGAAGGTAACCAATTTCTAAAAATTGATCTTCCATTTTATTAATACAGCTTTTTGTTTTAAATAGGATCAGTATAGTTGTTTTAAATAGGATCAGTATAGTTGTTTTAAATAGGATCAGTTTAACACAATCAGTGGGTATTTGGATGCCCAGTAAAATCTTAAGAATTAAATGCTTGTGAAACTAAGGCCGAAATTGAAAGAAATTAACAATTTTCCAGTTGCAAATTTTTTTTTTGTATCATATTTTGCCCTTAAAAGTACTTAGAAGCTCTGCGAAAAAGGGCTCCTTTTGAAATTTTCTATGAGGGATGCAGTACAGGAAAATGTTAATTAAAGTATTTAAGAAATCGTGTATAATATTTTTCTCTGTAAAATAATTTTACATGTGGGTGTCAAAAATTTTCGCAAACCAATTTAATAATTTAACTAAACCAACAAATTTTGACAAAAAAACTAATGTTTAATTTAAACATATTGAATTCTAATTAACTAATATATTACATATGACATACAAACAATGAGCATTGTTTATAATTATTTATAATAAATGTAATTTATTACAATTACGGTAAGCATAATTTTTTTAAAATTCAGGGTAGCAACAATCAGTGAAAAAAATATTTTTGCTTTCACTCGAATAAATAAAAAAAGTAAAAAAAATACTTATTACAATTTAATTCTAACATATTTAATCTGTGTTTGTTCTAAGTATAACTATATTGTTTTTATTTTGAATTAAGTTGTGGTAATTAGATAAATTAATCTTATATTATATTCGGACCATAAATAAATTGATGAAAAAATGTTAGACTATCTGTTATAATTTGGTTACTATATGCTATTTATACAAAAATTAATTAAGTAAAAGATATTTCAATTGTCTGATTTTTGGAAATAAAACTCAGTCCAAGATAAAAAAAATTATATTCCTTTGTCTTTTTTTTGCTTAAATAAGTATGCATGAAAAATTTATTTGAAAAATAAATTTTTCATTTATCCTTGGGTAAAACTGGTTTCTTATGGAAAAACCCACAGGAGTTGGGTTCTTTGCAAACTCGGAGTACAAATGTACCTTCTAGAATCCCTTTTTAAATACCCATGTCTGCAAATAGACATATTTTCTTTCTAAATGTGTGCACACATATTTTTGGAGAAAGATTTTTTAAAAAATATATATATTTTAGATTTATATCCTTTTTTGGAAAAATTATATTTTTTCTGATGTTTTAGTTTAAAAAAATTAAATTGGAGATGAACTAAACTTGTTATGCTGAGTTTTATTATTTTTTAAATTCAATATTTTTCAATAATTTATTTCTTACTCAGGCTTAGATACACCAGAAGCAGTTGCTGGTATCAAGAATTGGACCCAGTCTGATGATCGAGCATTTGGACTAGCCACAACTTTGTATGAAAAACATCCTTTAACCAATGAAAATGCTGGTTTGTATATTTCCTACCTAAATATTCTTTTCCCCCCACCCTTATTCTTCTATTCCTTTGAGAAGTAAACCAATTCAAAAATTAAAATGTTGAATGCTTCTAAAATATAAAGTTATAATGTGGCGTAACTACCACTATAAATATTAAATACCAATTCACTAGTATATAAGACATGTTAACTTGATACAATCTTAAGGTACCTTTTGATAGATGAAGGTTGACATGGTCATTAAAAGCATGCTCCTCAATTAGAGATTTGACCATGTGTGAGATTTGACCATAAATGTGGAGATAATACATATCCACCAACTATTCGGAATTTACGTAGTTTCTGTTATTTTCTCAGGTGATAGTTAAAGATAATGTTTTATTGCTTCTCAGGTGGTAGTTAAAGATAATGTTTTATTGCTTAAATAAATTAAAATTAAGAGAATTTTTGTCACCACTGCATATATATATTATTTAGACAATTACATAAAGGACTAGATAGAAAGTGGAACATGTTTTCAAATCCTAATTATAGAATTATACAAAATTTTTTGTTTTAAAAACTTCGGTCTTAGTTAACTAACAATAGAAAAAAATAATTCGCAAAAGCCTTGAATGTTGGGGGGTATATGTTTAAAACATATGTTTAAAATGTTTTATATTTTACTATTGTCCTAGTATTTAAGAGTAGAGGAATTATTAGTACAGCAGCAATATTTGCGAGAATATTTCCTAAGTTCAAGCCTATTTTATTACCAACACACCACAGAAAAATTAAATAAGAAAAAATATTAGATAATCTGTTTGGCTCCCTTTTTAGTAAAATGAACTAAAAGTCTTTCTAAGAAGAAATTAATGTTCTTGAGTTTTGCCTTTTCTTCCCAAATATGGTGGGTTCACAATGCTTTCAGTTTGGTTTACGGGTGGAAAAATGACTGTCCAGTCGTGCCACTTTGGAACTAAACTCAACCATGTATGCTCGCAGAACCGTATCAGTCGAATGGAAAAAAACAAGCTATAAAATAATTCTTTAATCAAATCGACAGTTTTATTGCCATAAATTTTTTTTTTTGGTAAAACATATTATATACGAAGATTGTGAACAACCAGGAAATATTTTAAAAGTGATAAAAAATATTTTAAGCAAATTAATTTTACTCATTCCTATTTACTAAGGCATATTTGTAAATAGTTAGAAATATATCTAGATGTTGAAATTGTCCGATTTAACTCCTAAAATTAAAATATTTATAACTCATAGCTACATCATGAAAGATTTGTAACCCCTTTAATTTTTCCCAGTTGCGGCCACCCCGCTAACTAATGTAAGAGTTTTTTTTACAATGCAAGTAAAGTCTTCACTATTTGCCACTAAATTATGGCAAATTGGAAGGCATTGATTTGTTTTTAAATTGTTTTTCTACCAATACTCTTTTTTTTTAATGAAATGAAATTTTTTTAAACTATAGGTGAACCTGTTGCTGATGCATTTGCTGTGTGCCTGCGTGAGAACAGTTCAGTCTTGGTTCTGGCAGATGGCGTGAATTGGGGTGAAAAGTCATGCCTTGCTGCAAGATGTGCTGTTCATGGCTGCATGGATTATTTGAACAATGCGTTGTACAGAGAAGGGGGAAGGATAGAAACCACTATGGTAACCAATATTTTCATGCATATTGAAAAGAATATCATACATTTTACTCTGGTGTTCAAAAACATTTTATTGCAATACTTGTTAAATATGCATGTTAGTTTTTACTTTATTAAATATGTTTCATTAATATATTTCACTCAATTTTTTTGTACTTAATTACACATAACATAATGCATGGTGCGTAGCGTTTTTGCAAAGTGCTTAAGGATGCTTATTTTCGATTAAATTTTTCGTTTTGAAAATGAGATTTTTTTTCTTTACCATGTCGATTTTCACCACATATTATGCAAAAGCATACTTTTCACATTGTTCAATTCAGCGTTTTCACAATTCATTCAACCACAATCCATATCGGCCTACCGTCATTCCATAGCATATAAAAGTGCCAATCATTGTACATGTTTGATGAAGTACTTACGGGTCCGTATGTACGTATACTGAGCTAATTTCAGTGGGAAGGATTCTTGCACTCTCATCTGCATTTTGCAGGATATTTTCAACTTCAGCCTTCATTTTCCTCCCTCTGATATCGAACCGAAAAATCTCTTGATTATTTTATAATGGCTAATAAAAAAATCAAGAAAAGAGTTCTTTGTCAGAAACTAGTTATTCTATCATGATCATGTAAAGTCTTTGAAAATTATTTTGCATTTTGTTAATGTATAATAAATGTATGTGTTTGAAAATATTTTTGAGTGCTTAAAAAGTATTTAAAATGTGCTTATTTTTTGTTGAAATATTTGGCTACTGACCCTGTAAAATTTAAGATTCTAGAATATTGTGTTTCCAATGCAATAAAACGTGATGCATCGTTCCTGCATCTTCCATTTCCTCTGTACGTATCATCTTCTTTCAACAGTCCTGTCACAAATACTATTTTTAATATGTTAATAAAACCCATTTTGATAGTTTTTGAAACTATCATCCATTGTTCGGAAATTCTACCGACATTTAAAAATATTGAAATTATTTAGTTGTGATGAAGTAGAAAAATCGTACATAACTCTTGATGATTATTGAAGAAAAAGAAAATGAGGATTGATTATAACTCAGTAAAAATGCCATCATTTTTGATGATGAAAATGTTGAAACTTTGGGGTAATTCAAGATGTATGTATCAAGATGTTCAAATGGTTGCAGAAGTGCAAAATGATAATGATGAAGATAGTGAACTCAACCAGTGCCAGCATCTGCAAAAAGATTCAAAGGCTTTGAAACAATAAAAACTTATCACGCATTTATACCGACTTAAAAATAATAAAAACGCTATTTGTTATAAATGTCGAAATTTTATCATTTGCTCTGAGAAAAAAAAAGTGTTCAAACCAAAATTTCTTAATATTTAAAATAATGTGTCATTGTAAATAAATGTGTCATGCACCGTAAATATTTTTTATTATTAATTTTTAAGTTATTCAATTTATTACTTTTTATATTCATATATTTTGATGTCATTGTTTGATGTCTTATGTTAACCAGAATTTATCATTTTTTCTCATCTATTGTTCACTATGAATAGTCCCATGAGAAATGATTAACCATTGTTCTTCTGTAATATTTTATGCATCATAGTTTTTTTCATTATGTAATGCTTGTTATTTCGAAATGTTGATTTATAATTTTTTTATATAGAGAACTTCTCAAAAATCTCATTACAATTACTCAATTTGCACAAAAAAACCTTTAAAAAATTCTAACTTTTTTTTAACAAAAACCCTAGAGAAAAGTTTTATCTTTACTCTGGTAAATCTTGATTGGAGATTTTTAATTATTTTGTTTGAAATTGATGTATTTTAACTACCAATCATATTGTTATAATTGAATCAGTGAATTAAAATTTTATTTCTAAATTATAAGCTTTAATTATATTTTAGTAAAAGTATTGAAAGAAATTCTTTCACATGTTAAATCTTTTGTGACTCATCAATTCAAATTTTTAATTGGAGATTTCAGTTTAGAAATCTATTGTTAATAATGATAGTTAATATGTTAATGTCTGATGGGATGACTTACTTATTATTTGTGAGGTTATTTTACATTGTTACATGTAAAATGATCTATGATTCCTCTTCCATGGCTCTGATCAGACCTGCAATATTTTATCTCAAGAAGTTACTTTCAAGCCCAAGTTATTACTTAGACATGGAATAAATTGTGATATGTATTTCTCCTGATTGAATTTAAAATATGATTATTGCACGCTAATGACTGATGGGATGACTTACTTTTTATTTGTGAGGTTATTTTACATTGTTACATGTAAAATGATCTGTGATTCCTCTTCCATGGCTCTGATCAGACCTGCAATATTTTATCTCAAGAAGTTACTTTCAAGCTCAAGTTATTACTTAGACATGGAATAAATTGTGATATGTATTTCCCCTGACCGAATTTGAATCATAATTAGAATATTGCATGATAATGTCTGATGGGATGACTTGCTTACTATTTGTGAGGTTATTTTAGATTGTTACATGGAAAATGATCTATGACTCCTCTTCCATGGCTCTGATCAGACCTGCTATATTTTATCTCAAGAAGTTACTTTCAAGCCCAAGTTATTACTTAGACATGGAATAAATTGTGATATGTATTTCCCCTGATTGAATTTAAAGTATGATTATTGTATGCTAATGTCTGATGGGATGACTTGCTTAATATTTGTGAGGTTATTTTAGATTGTTACATGTAAAATGATCTATGATTCCTCTTCCATGGCTCTGATCAGACCTGCAATATTTTATCTCAAAAAGTTACTTTCAAGCCCAAGTTATTACTTAGACATGGAATAAATTGTGATATGTATTTCCTCTGACTGAATTTGAATCATAATTTGAATACTGCATGCTAATGTCTGATGGGATGACTTGCTTACTATTTGTGAGGTTATTTTACATTGTTATATGTAAAATGATCTATGATTCCTCTTCCATGGCTCTAATCAGACCTGCAATATTTTATCTCAAGAAGTTACTTTCAAGCCCAAGTTATTATTTAGACATGGAATAAATTGTGATATTTATTCCTCCTGATTGAATTTGAATCATAATTGGAATATTGCATGCTAATGTCTGATGGGATGACTTACTTATTATTTGTGAGGTTATTTTAGATTGTTGCATGTAAAATGATCTATGATTCCTCTTCCATGGCTCTGATCAGACCTGCAATATTTTATCACAAGAAGTTACTTTCAAGCCCAAGTTATTATTTAGACGTGGAATAAATTGTGATATTTATTCCTCCTGATTGAATTTAAAGTATGATTATTGCATGCTAATGTCTGATGGGATGACATACTTATTATTTGTGAGGTTATTTTACATTTTTATATGTAAAATGATCTATGATTCCTCTTCCATGGCTCTGATCAGACTTGCAATATTTTATCTCAAAAAGTTACTTTCAAGCCCAAGTTATTACTTAGACATGGAATATATTGTGGTATGTATTTCCCCTGACTGAATTTGAATCATAATTAGAATATTGCATGATAATGTCTGATGGGATGACTTGCTTAAAATTTGTGAGGTTATTTTAGATTGTTACATGTAAAATGATCTATGATTCCTCTTCCATGGCTCTGATCACACCTGCTATATTTTATCTCAAGAAGTTACTTTCAAACCCAAGTTATTACTTAGACATGGAATAAATTGTGATATGTATTTCCTCTGATTGAATTTGAATCATAATTAGAATACTGCATGCTAATGTCTGATGGGATGACTTGCTTACTATTTGTGAGGTTATTTTACATTGTTATATGTAAAATGATCTATGATTCCTCTTCCATGGCTCTGATCAGACCTGCAATATATTCAGACCTGTTCTAAAAATTATCACGCTCTTATTTCTCCTAATCCAATAAAGCAACACCTTTATTCTCCACTGTTTTTGAAAAATATAGTGCTACAGAATTAATAATACATCATCCAGAATTTTAAGTACAAGAATCTAAAAACAATAATCAAAAATTTTATCTAAAATTCAAGGTTGCACAAATAAAGAATAAAATCTTAAGTTATGATTTTTCATGAAAGTTGAGACAAATGTAGAGGATTTAATTAGCTTTTTAGACCTTTTTGCCCACTTAACTGCTGAAAGTCGTTCAAAATAGTTTTAAGACAAGGATATCGCCAGAATTTAATATTTAAGAATAGGAGACAAGCTATTAATGATTGTTTGAATAGTTTCAATTCTTCCTAATTTAATAAAGTTGATTTAAAATGATTTTGACCACTATTATCAGGGATCTGTCCAGGCTAAATTTAGTACTGTTTAGCGGTACCTTCACAAATTCAACTTTAGGAAACACTGTAGTTTCACAAAATACTTTATCTAGAAATTTTATTTTTGTATCCCGTAAGAAACGATAAATCCATTTTTTTGTGTTAATTTTTTAATAAAATTTTTATTTTTCGCAAGTTATGTCTAAATTTTCACAAAATAGGTACCTCTAAGAAAAACCTAGACAGACCCCTTATTATATATAAAGAGTTTAAACTCACACATGTATATGTATAGTCTGATTGTCCTTTGATTAAAGTCCTGCAGTGAACTGATCATAAAAACACGGTTCCCAGTAGAACACGAAAGTCGAGCATCAATGGCTGTGATCAGTAAGCGGATGGGCGATCTTTTTGATCAGTCTGCGTAGGGACCGAGAGTGCACGGTATTGGTTCTCATTAAACTGTTCTAAAGTAAAGTGCTCGACTTCGTGTGCTGGTTGTCAGGCTGCCGAAGCAAGGGGCCATTCTCTCTACAGAGGATCAAAATTGCAATGGCATGTCTTTTTATCATTATGCTCATTATGATTTATGTTTTTTAAGAGCCCATAAAAGTGCTTTTTTTTAAGTCGGGATTTGTAAATAGTGCTTAATTTTCTCTTTTAGAAAGAGATTTTTCCTTGTGTCGATTGTCGTTCTAAATTACCAAAAAATGCATGATTCTCACAATTTTCTCTTCAATATTTATCAGAAATTAATTATTTTATCATGATCGTTTAAAATTTTTTGAAAATGTTTTGAAATTTTATTGATTTTATGCTTATAAATTAAGAGCTTTAAATGGTAGAAATTTTTTTTTATTACTGCACAGATCCTAATTATCATTTATTTTTGGAAAGTGATTAAAAATCATTTTTTTTAGTGCTTAAAAAGTATTTAAAAGGTGCTTATTTTATGTTGTAAAATCTGGCTACGCTAAAAATATGACTACTATGTGTTGGTATTAGGTTTCATAATATTTTGGACAAATCGAAAATTCCATGAATCATTTTGAAAATATTCTGCAGATGGTAGAAATTTTTTAAATGTTAAATTTTGTAAAGTAGTGTAATTGTGCATTTTAAAATTGTTTTCAAAAATTGGTTGCAGAGATGCAATGGTATTAGTGCATAACGTTAATAATAATACCTTACTGTTTTTAAATATGTGTATATAATTCTAACATATTATTATTTCAACAGGATATATTCGTCTGTCTTCTTCGTTCATTTCACGCAGCTCATAATTTAATCCTACAAGAAGAAGGGAACCTGACAACTTTGTGTGCGGCTGTTGTTTGCCAGCTCAGAAATTCTGATAAATTTATTATTTGCACTTGCAACGTGGGAGACAGCCTTGCCTATATTTACAGTCAGAAACATGGTGTTAGAGAAATCACCCAAGGTTGATAAGTTTTTCATAATATACTTGTAAAATTATTTTTTATTATTTAGTCAATGCTTAGTCAAAGTGGAGTATTCATTCTTATTTTTACCTTTAATTTGTGACTAGATTATGTATCAGTATCTATCATTGATAAATTTTTTTAATAAGTTTTTATAAAATTAGGTAAAATGAGAAAAAAAATTAACATTGTTTGGTATAAATTTAAAACTTGATTTTTAAATGGGAAAAACATTTATTAGATCTTTTGTCCCTTCCATAAGTAAAATTTGTTCAAATTGATTTGTGTCTTTCCTCATTTTGTTAAATATCTGTAGTTGTTGCACCATACAAAACATGTGTACTCAGATATAGGCTGTAAAATCCCCTCGGTTATTTGCATGATCGTGCAGTAGAACAGATTAATTTGATAAATTGTATTCAATTAAGGCATTCTGCATTCAAAAACAATATCTTGCATTAGTGAGCAAACTCTAGAATGTTTGATATTATTTAAGTAGATGCAGCATTATCCTCAAATGCAATTTTTTTAAACAAAAGCACCTAAAATTAAGGAATTAACTTTTAAATGTAAATTAACTTCTGATTAACAGTCGAACCGTGATTTAACGAATTCTCGAGTAAACGTACTTCGATTAACTAATATTTTATTGTCCTGACAAAAAGGGTGCTTTTGATTTAACGAATTGTTAGCTTTGATTTAACAAACAGTCATTGCTGGAAAAAAAATTCGCACACAAAACTAAAACTTTGAATTTCTTGCACTTAAAATTTTTAATATTTCACACCCTAATTTAAGTGAATAATTAATTTTATGTATGTATTAAGTTTAAAAAGCAAGTAGCATTAAAGAATTAAGATCATTTTAAAGTTGATTTCCTAACGTATGACTTATAATTTTTAAGCTCGCAGTAAAACAGTAATCACTTTTTTTTATATCTCTATATCTATGGGTATTTTGCATTGATAGTTTTTTTTATCATACTCTTGATTGATATTTGAATTGATATTGATATAAAATTGATATTTAGTTTAAAGAATTGCTTCTATTTAACGAACAGATTTGTCTGGTCCAATCAATTTGTTAAATCGGGGTACAACTGTATTTAAAATTATTTTTGATTCCTTTCAAAGCTGCTGTTGCAATCGATACTAATTTTTAATTTTCTTGATGATTTGTCTCTATTTATACCTTTTTATAAAACTGTACCTGACAATATCTTCTAATTTATTACAGGTTCACACGACATTCATTCGATGAGGGATATGCGTGACGCCCTCGGTGCTTTGGGTCCCGTAGATGGAGTGAACCCCGAACTTAACAATCTGACTGTATCGATGACAATCGCTGAGCAAGGAGACTATGTCTTCCTGTGTAGTGACGGAATCTCCGACAATTTCGATCCGGTCGTCGGAAAATTTGCCCTGCCCAAAAGGCCAGAGAAGCCGCACCGTAAGGGATCCGATGTCGCTAAACCGGACACTTCCAAGCACACAAACACCAGCATAAAGAGGCAAAACAGCAACAGCCAAGAAGTCAACGTTAAAAGACAGAGCAAGTTAAATGCAGTGCTTAGAAGACAGAGCAGCAGCAACCCGGCTGCCGAAGAAGCCAGAAAGTCATCCGGTTCTACAATCGAGGCAATGATTCCACCCGAGGCACCTCTACCCGTGGTGGAAGCCCACCAAAGACACCAACTGACTCTATTGCGAATGGAGGACCTCCTCCGGCACGGCCAGAACGACAACGATAAGGGTTGCGATTCAGCACAGAAACTATGTGAAACCCTAATCGATTTTGCAATGAAACTGACAGTTGCAAAGCGCAAGATCTTAGAAGATCCAGATCTGTATAATGGAGAGCAGGATTCTCAGCAGGAGCAGAGATCGAGACGCAGGAAAGTCGGTGACAAATTGTGCACGGTACCGGGCAAGCTCGACCACGCCTCGGTGGTTTCCTGTCGGATCGGAAACTACAAACCCCACTCACCGATCAGAAGAAGCAGAGATACCAGCAAGAGTCACTCGAAATCTCCAGTCGCATCCAACAACAAAACCAACAAATCTTCCGGCCACCACCACCATCATCATCACCATCACCACCACCATCATAATCAATCAAATGTGGCCAACAATAACAATAATATAAACTCTAAAATTTCTCGTGGAATGAAGACAGACGACCCTCGACATTACGAGTCGAGCATTTGAAATAATAAAAAAAAAAACTCCTTCAGTTTGGTTTTGCTTTTATTTTTTCACTGCCACTTAATCTTTGCTCCTTGCAGTGATCTCAGATTATTGTATGGACGGTATACATCCATATGTGTGATTGTCTTGTGAACTGTGAATATATGGATAATTTTCAGTATTGTAGGGGAAGCTTCTGTAGAACTTCTCTGCAGAAGTTATAGGCAATGACGCTTGTGTAAAACTGAGACTTGTCCCTCCATTCCAAATTTCTTTTTATATGAAGTAATATTGTTTGGTTTGCATAAGTGAATTGTCTTTTTTAGTCAGGTATATTTTCATTGATAGTCATACATTTAGTGAGTGAATTAGGTGTTTTTCTGATAACAGAAATTTGTATTTTTGTCTTTAAACACCATTCCATTGCACTTCTTTTCCTTTCAAGTTCTTTAAAAATTTTGTTTCTGGAATTTATTCCTTTTGGATGTTAGTATTACTTATTATAGTTAGCTAATTAACTGCTATATTTTTAATTTTAAAAAAATTATATAATTTTGTTACTTCTTGTCATGGATCTTTTCAATGGATAAATTTTTTTTAACTTAACAAGAATAGTTTTCAGGGTGCATAGCTTTTTTAAAAAGTGCTTATTTTTTATTCGAGGTTTGTAAAAAATGCTTAGTTTTCTATCTTTTAAAAAGAAATTTTTTCTTTGCTATGTCCATCATCGTTCAAAGTTACAAAAAATACATGATTTTCCCAATTTTCTCTGCAATATTTATCAGAAACTAGTTATTTTATCATGATAATGCAAGGTTTTTGAAGTTTATTTCATGCTTATTAATTGAGAACTTATACGATGGGAAATTTTCTATTTTTATTGATGCACAGATCCTAATTATGATTTATTTTTGGAAAGTGATTAAAAATATTTTTAAATGCTTAAAAAGTACTTAAAAGGTGCTTATTTTTTGTTTAAAAATCTGGCTATGCACCCTGTTCTAATTTTTGAAGAAAAAAAAACAACAAAAATTATATAATTTTGTTACTTCTTGTAATGGATCATACATCTTCAATGGATGAATTGTTTCCAACTTAACAAGAATAGTTTTATTTTTTTATAATTTACCAAAAATTATCGAAAATAATTAATTATAACTTTCATCTAAATTAAATTTCTTTCTTTTTGTCCCTACATATGTAACAAACTTACATTAAAAATACATTAATAGCAGTTAATTAATAGTATTTAAAAATTCCATCTTTCTTTTTTAAATCTTAAAGTTAACTATTACTATTTTATTTTCATCATGCTTGATATCTTAAAAGAGTGACATATTTACAGTCAGTTAGCTGTTTATATTTAGGTACCAATAAGCCGTATGTCTTAAGCATACAGTAAATTCTTATTTGGTAATAGTTAGTAGTAGAATAAGAAATTTGTGTAAATTTTATCCATCCAATTTATCGACTTGTGGTTAATACTATATTTAATTTTAGTACACCAATTATGTTGTAGGACAGATAGATTAGACAGTGTTATGCATCACTAGATCAGGTATTAATTTTTATGCTTGTTTTAGAAAAAAAAACATTTAAGAAATAAAACTTTTTGATCATTTGTGTACAAATAGTGCAAAAATCTCAAAACTGGCTCTTGATCTAATGATATATAATACTGTAAAAAATGTAATTTAAGTTGTATATAAGAATTTTCTGCACACCGATTTTTTTTTTAATGATCACCTTTTATATTTTATTTTAAATATCATTTTGAATGTACAAAACTACTTTATTTCATAAACTAGGCTAGTTTGCTCAAAATGTGTATTTTTATTTAAAAATCTGTGTGATAGTTTTTGTAGGTGTTTAAAAAAATGGTTTGCTATTATCTCATTCCGTTTAACTTGGTGCTTTTATTCCATTCTAAACAACGCTTTTCTAGTAAATGTACTGCCTTATTTACACTAATTAATGAAAGTACTTTACAAATATTTTTATAAATGTAAACTTGTGGTGCTGCTGTTTTATAAAGAGTGTCAACTAATTGTTGAGACAAACTTTTAGGGAATGTAACGCACATCATGAGGATTAAGATTAGCATAAAAACCCAGGAGCAGCAATGTAATCCTATATGGTTAGTCATTCCCTATTTTAAACTGTGTCATGTGCTTCAAACGGATACTTTAATGTATTTTAATTTTATATATTCTCATAATTATGATAGAAAATTGTGTTCAGTTTTATCGTAATTTCAAGATTTGGCAACTTAAATGGACAAGTTTGCTGAATCATTTAATTACAATAAAACAGCTTTTTCTAAACTTATTTGATTAAAATTTTCAACAATAATAGAAAACAAAATAAACGTGAAATTAAGATATTTTAGGTAAATAAAAGTGCAGATTCCGGTGTTATTACTTATTCCTCATGATGTCTGCCTTTCCTAACCTAGAAGTTTTTTACAACATTTAAGGAACACCCGTACATTTGTTTCTAACCCTCTGTAGTGTGCCTCGACTCATTGAGAGAAATAGTATTTACATTGACTTATTTGTTACTACTAAAAGATGATTTTGTAATTTAAAGTGAAGATGGCTAAAAATTTCTTTGATTTTTTTTATGCATTATCTTAACCAAGTTTCATATTTATAACTAGTAGTATATGCATTTTCTGGCCCGCATTTAAATTAATTTACTTTTAGATATTAGGTGATAGAAATGTAACAAAACTATTCAAACATTATTAGAGTGAAAAATAGTTTTCATTTATTAAATGGAAATCTCTGAAAAGCTTAACTAAATGTTAATGAAAGCAATGTAAGTTTAAAAAAAAATTTACAATGTTTTTAGTAATTACTAAAAATTTATATTTAATTATTACCAATATTGCTTATAATCACAAAACAAGTGTTTCTAAACTGAAAATTTCCTTAAAAACATGCATAGCACTCAACGTGTTAACTGAGTTTTCATATTTATAACTAGCAGTATATACCATTTTCTGGACCACATTAAAATTAACTCGGTTTTAGAAATTAAAGATTAAAAAACTAATCATTTGTGTAATACAAGAGCAAAAATTGTTAGCATACTAAATGGTAATTTCAGAAAAGCATAAGAATTTTATCAATAACCAATGTCATGAAAACTTCTGGTTCATATTTTTATTCGCACTTATTAATAGTTTTATCCACTTCAAGATGTTCCGAAATAAATGCTTTTTGATGTTCTCTAAGTGACATTATCAGGTTCTCATTATTAAAAACATAGTAACATTTTACTTGAACTTTTGAACAAGACTTTGCTAATGCATATACTATTTAGAGTAGTGAAAACAGGGTGCGTAGCGTTTGTAAAAAGTACTTAAAGGTGCTTTTTTGGGGATTACGTTTTTAAAAGCTTTTAAAGGTGCTTTTTTCAGCTGGCGTTTTTAAAAAGTGCTTTTTTCCGAAATTTTTTTTCTTCTCCAGTGATATCTGGTGGATCCTATGCATTTCACGAAAAATGGGGAGTTTGCTACGTAATCATTCATGGGGACTTCATGTCGTACCCACGTTATGACTTGTGCATGCGCGCACACTTTAAACCGAGACCAGAGTTCTCCAATTCGGATAGAGAATATCAGATCCTTATGAAATGTTTTTCTTTTTAATTTATTTTAATTTTGTTCTTGTTTATTTTATTTTACTTCTAACACTTTTTTTGACGTAGGGGGTAGGGGTAAGGGTACTTTTGTTCTGAGTTCAGGGTCAAGTTGAATTCACTCGGTGATGTGGGAAAGTACTGATTGTTTCGATTTACGCCCGTTTCTTTTTGGGTTTTTTTTTAACGCTAAAACTGTTTATAAAAAGTTTTTGTTTTTCAATAATATCATTGATTGAATATTTTTTTTTATTGCTAAACCCCGTCCCGCCCCAAAGGGGGCATCCGGGTATTAATATTTACAAAAGTAATAACATGATGAGCTAAAATTTTCTTTATACGGATGAAAGCAGATGATTTCATTGATTGAATATGAATTTTTTGAGTGCTTGAAAAGTGCTTATTTTTGATTCAAAGATTTGGCTACGCACCCTGGAAAACAATTCTATGTCTGACATAAAAATGTGAAATTTTTAAATTCCATTAACTTTGCGAACAATTGTATCAGAAAGGTATGCAACAGAGGGTTAATATTTTCGCTAAAACTTGATCTTCCAGGCCATAATGAACAAAAGTGTGTCGAACTTGAGAAAGCTTAAAATTATGAATGCTTAGATTCAACCACGTAACCTACACTTGAGAGAATATTCTTTGTTCTTTTACTATCCAATTATAAATGTAGAAATAATAGAATATTATAAAAAATTTTCACATTAATCAAATGTAAAGGCATCAACAAGTGATTCTGTGTAGTTTCAATGTGATATGTAATGGTAAAATTAAAACTATGTTGATGAAAATGTGGACTGTCTTCTTTCAGGAAAAGCTATTGTGTGATCCAATATTTTTCTAAGTACAGTAGGGAACCGATTATCCGGAACGATCGGGACCATCCCTATTCCGGATAACTGATTTTTCCGGTTTTCTGAATCGCTACAAAAAGCTGTTTTTTATTGTTAAACCCAACTAAAAAAAAATTTTGGGGGGAAATAATCTTGAAAAAACGATGAAGTAATACACTAATGATTATTTCCAAAATGATGGTAAGGTGAACATCTTNAAAAAAAAGAAATTATTTGGAAATAATCTTAAAAAGAAGAAAAAACGATGAAGTAATACTCTTATGATTATTTCTAAAATGATGGTAAGGTAAACATCTTTCAAGAAAAATCTTAAGAGGAAAAAAAAAAAAATGGCGGGAAAATTTATCGAATTTCTTTCCGGTTTTTTGGTTTCCGGATAACGGGTTCTGTACTGTATTGTGTTCTTGATAAATAGTAAATATCCCTTTATTACACTGAGCTAACCATACCATTTCTATGTGATCAAAAAATTTCTTTACGAGAAGCTGAAGTTCTGATCAGTTTCTGCCTTGCTCTTTTCTTAGTTAGTCTTTGTTTAATGAGGATATTACTTTGATTGGACTTTTAGAAAAAGTGTTAATTAATTTAGAGAAT